AGGGTGTGATTGTTGAAGGCTGTATGATTTAACGTGGCGTGAAACTTTGTGTGAGAGTCATTAGAACATTTGGATTTGTTTTACTGGTTTGCCACTGGTGTTACCAATTTCCTCTCACCCCACAATGTTCACAGGCTTTGGTTTAAGTTGGCAATAAGGTGTGCACAGGCTCCCATTAATCTTGTTGTTATGAATCTCCAATTTTTATTTGTTAAGAAGGGGGCGTATAATCAGGTTCCATTTCTGTGCATACTCACTATTTATTAATTAGACACTACATAAGATGCAAGCAAATAGCCTTTACCTTTAGTATTTGGTATAATATTGTTAGGGCAGACAGTGCATGTTCCCTTTAACATTATTAAAGCACCTAATAACAGGTTGCCCATTTCCACACCAGCAGTCAGTTCATTAATAGAGACAGTAACTCCATGGCTTAAAATGAAACATGTAAATTACAACACAGTCATGTCCATCTGTTTTGCTTAAACCATATTGTCACAGGTACAGTTGCGCGTTTAAACTGATGACTAATAATGTTGACATTTGTCACAGAAATGCCCAACCACACGAAGCGGGGAATCTACGCAACTTAATCAAATGTAACGTCATATCGTCAAACCTACGAGATCATTCATGTTAATTACTGCTAACGAGCTCGTCTAGCTAGTGAAACTTGCACTATCGTTAGCTGCAGCATAACATCCCTCCAGCCCATATACCGTTATACCCAAATCCCAGATTAAGGATTTAAGTAGCTGGTTAGTGTGAGTGCTAGCTAACACGATATCAAATTAACTAACGTTAGCTGACAGTTGCCAACGACACATTGCAGTTAATGCTAGCTACCGTCATGTTGGCTAACGTGGGTCAACCATAAAAAATGTACCGAGATCGAGACAAATGAACACGACCTTAACAGCCAGGGACACCAAGATAACGCCAGGTGTTCGGCAGATATGTGTGGGTCTTCACGGGAGTGGGGTCTTCAGTGGCAAAATCACTGTAGCATGTGTTAGTAACGTTAGCTACAAAGCCCTAGCTAGTTAGCAAACTTGCTAAAAACTTTGACTACGGTGTCTGCGACTGTGACACGTAGCTCCTCGGCTAATGTGGAGCTCGGCTCAGTCAAACAGCCACACACAACTTCAGGCTGCACCTTAGCCTGCGAATTATGGCCGTTACGATAAGATTGGGTCGGAAATAAGAAACTATCCGCCATGCTCATACACTGGTGTCGTGTCATTTTTATGCCAATTCGCCAACACCGACAGGCTCGTGGAAAGTTGAACTGTAGCCTGTAGCTAGCGAGCTCATGTTAGCATACAGTTTGTTCTACTAGCTCGCTAAGTCCACGTAGGCATACAGCTGAGCAGGGGAGAAATGACACGGAGTCAGGCCAGAACATACTGTAACGTTCAAGGTTCACCAACAAACTGTCCGCCCGACGAGTAGCACTCTGTTACGTATATGTCAGGCATAGCTCTTGTGTAAAGATAATGCGGTTGTATTCAGTAGAAAACTGTGAAGTACTTACTTATTTTATGTACTCGTCTGCCCTGAAGGTGCAGAAGCTGAGATGAAATTCCACTGGCGAGAAGGTGGGATTGAAGCCTGACGGATATATACTAGTGCCGCCCACCAATCATATCCTCCAACGTCACGCCAGAGAGTCCGATTACAAATAACTTATTTTCATTTCTAAGGGTGACACACTCTTGTATAACTTATGAACTCCGGTTACATTGCGTATCAAAATCATGTAAGATAATACGTGATTAAATGTGTAATCCCTGGACATTGCATACTTGGTCTAAAATAAGAATGTGTTAAAAATCACATTTAGAGGAGAGTATTCATAAACAAACAAATAACACAGTTTGAGATGTCAAAATTCTGTTTTATTGACCACACATTTCAATGTGGGAGCGTTTCTCGGTGTCTTTTCAAACGTGAGTGAGGTCAGAGGATGAGCCCATGCCAATCCTCCTACACTGAAATCCCTTTCTAGGTTATAAATCAAGTGTTGCTGTTGTGACTCTGAGAGATATCAAACAATCCTGCCTTTTTCTTTGTTGACAACAGCCATGTGCAGAAATACTTTCTCTATAACAAGTTCAGAGAGGCTGCATTCTCAGGTCATGGTCATTCCTCAGCTAGGTGTTAATGGATAGACTGCCGAGGTCACAGAGTCCACAGTCTACAGTGAGAGGAATGTGGTAAACATGAACAAATATAAATAAGTACAACTCTGAGCTCAAAACATGTCATTAGGGATCAAACAAACTCTCAAGACGGTCCTTGCCTGAATCAGTTTCACTGAACACAGTGATTCTGGGTTTCTTGCACTTAACAACAATGACCGATAACATGATGATAACATCTCTATTATATCTCTATTATAGTTTGCAAGGCCAGGCTGAGTTATTCATGAAAGAAATGTGTCAATAACAGAGGCCATTTGATGAAATGGAAAGCTGTACTTTAATGGCAGTTCTTTCACTGCACACATTAAATGCATCAGACTTGATGTAACACAAAATTCCCATTTGTTGTCCTTGAGCAGAACGAAATCCTTTGATAAGGATGCAAATCTGGATAGAGCACTCATCCCCCTTTTGTTTCTCCCAGTATCCATTCTGATTACAAGTTATTTACCAAACTGAGACTGGTGAAGTTATTTTGTTTCTTTTTCTCAATTTAAAACATGTGAGCATATATGGAACTGATTGATGTACGGTAATATATGTAACATAACATGAGGCTGTAACTGTACATCACTATAAGTGGAGACGTTCATACACCAGTGTCCATTAGGCTTGTGCAAACTCTAATTATTCTTATACTTGGTAGATTTCTTCCATAACTCTAAGACCCATTTTTTGGCCTTCATCAGTGGATGGATTTTGCATTCAACATTCACTGTGTTGGAGAAGGAGAGCAGTCAATAAAGCATCAAATGTTGCCTTTGAATGAATGAATAAGAACTCATGGTCAAATGATTTTGAGCAAAAGGGTGTCTTCTTTCTCCAAGCCCCTCACTTCTGCCTGTGGAAAGCACCTCAAATTTTTGAAGCTGCTTGTCTTGTCTCCCTCACTACTGAGACAGCAGGTGTCGAGTTTCTGGCTCACGAAAGACAGCAGGCGATAGCTCAGGAATGGTATGATTTTTTAAAAACATTTGTATTAACCAAAGGTTATAGGGGGCAACAGCACAGTGAAACTAGAGCGGAGATACACAGTGGGTGAACAAAATCCAACAACAGCCTTAAAAATACTTTATCAAGATGTATCACGATCACTCTACAACGGTTTTACAGTGGTGAGCTTTTTGCTCAATGGTTATTACAATATAATGGATACAGTATAGCTCCATAGTCTGCAGCCTCAAAACATACCAAACTGTCCCCTCTCTGACACAGTTTCAGCAAAAAATGATAACCTCCCTATAAAGCAAGTGTTTAATACAAGGCTATAGTAATGGCTGCTGCTGTATCCACCCTAAAACAAACATTGATATAATAAATTAAACACACACCTACCAGACTAATTTCATCATACTGTGAGGAGGCCCAGGGCTCTTTAAAGATAATGCACACAGATCAAAAGACAGCATGGAAACACAGAAAGGTCTTTCAGTCCAGACTCCATGCTCTCTGTTGGCCATCTTTATCTTTCTCCTGCTTTACATCAATAGCAGATTAAAGAATCAGAAATAATCAGCAAAATAAAAAGAGGAGAGCAACAACATGGTGACAGGGTGACAACCGTTGCAATTGCAGTGTGTTTTGGGAAGTGGTTTCCTTATAGAAAGTAAGCAGATTAATACATGTGATGATAATTTGGATAATATCACAAGGATGACAAAAAGATCTCCTTTTTAATCACAGAAAACATCTGTCTTCATAATAGTGACTGAATTTACTCTTTCAGAGGCTTTGTTCTTTGTTTAGCTTTTCTCAGACCATCACACACATTACTCTGCTGTATATGCCAACGTATGTCTCTGACCAATACTCCAAACAAAATCATATATATGTGTAGATCACATTTATTAGAAAATGAAGCAAAACCTTTACAGGCCTATATTTCTATGCATCTTTCTAACTACACACACACACACACACACCGGTATACAGTTTATCCAAAAAACATATATTGGAAAAAACATGTAGGCTTATATAATTATCAAACAAAAACATTTCTGTTACATGTTTGTACTTATATTTTATAAACAAAAACAATTGAATGAATAAATAAATAATACTAAATCAATAAAAATAAAAATAGGCTATATAGTCCAATATTTAACACATATGTTTATGTGTGGCCATATCATATTGTTACATCATATATTAGTAGTATAATGCAACTTTGTTCTTGATTTCAGAGTAAAGAACAGTAGGGGGAGCTCCATCACAATATGCCACACGTCCCTTTTTCCTTTCCTCATCATATTAGTTCAATGTGACGCGTATCACTTACGTGCTGCTTCAAAACAATGGACGTGAGTGTAAAGTATACAGCAAATCCATCATGAGTGATGTAATCATGCTCCGAAGCGTTGAGACGCTTATAGACACGTAACAGGTACGGTCTCGTGACGCACGCGCGCGCCCACACTGTTACCTACTGTGCTGAGAGAAATGTTTTACTGTTGTGTTATTTGAGGCAAGAAAACCCACATAGCTCATTTTATCTACGGGTCGAACTTTAGCCCAAACTTAAACAAAGGGCTGTTTTGCTTTGTGAGTCAAATCAGATAAAACGAATCAGATAAAACAGTAATTTTATTTCCTCGAGGTGACAACCATGAGTCTGTAGATTAAACACACGTAGCCTCGAGACCACACACTTTTTTTAAATAACTTTCCACGAGGCATTGTTAAAAATCCACAACATGTCATTTTTCAGGAGGACAAGTTTATCCTCCATCCATCCATCATGGCTATTTAAAGTAAAAGAAGGTAAATCTTCCTCCTCAGCCTACAATCCTCGGCCACATTTGAACCAATGGCAGGAGGTTCGGGACTGCTTTAGCCAATGACTAACTAGTCTGAGTGCGCACTCCGTTGGACGACGACGACCATGGACTGGAGTAGTGTCCTTTTCGGTGTAACAAACTTTTAGCATTTAGTTTCGATACGGGCAAAACGGTAAGTTTAAAGCTCTTTGTGATATTTACATATTATTGCAGTGAGTGGTAGTACTGACGAGTTTTTGGAGAGAAAACTCGGTTTAAGCGTATTAATACTTCGGTTTGCTTCTCGTCGGTAAAGTAGTGTCCACTGAGCTCTCTTTCAAAGAAAGAAAATCAATCTCACCTTAAACATTAGTATGAGTTTTGTATAGTTCGTGAGTGTCGTTCTGTTGGGTTTCCTCGCTTTTTAAATGTTAACTGTCTCATTCATGTGCTGTTGACCCAATTAGGCCCACATGCACCGTACGCTCATAAACGCCAAATCGGCACGGCGTCGTTTCTTTTTGTACTTTTAGGTCGTCTTCTCTGGTTCGCTTCAACCTACACTCTTGTTGAGTGGCACATAGATAGCTCAGGTGAATATTAGCAATTGGTCTCAGTTATGTCAACTGTGTGTTGCATGTGTTATGAATGAGCCTCACATGTCCTCGAACAGCTTCACAGACAGCCAGACTAATTTTCTTTTTGTAACGAAACCTGTAGAAACCATGTTAAACCAGTCCTCACCTGGAGTCAACCTACAACACTCACAGCCTCATGACATATTTACTGATCCCAGGCATGATAAGACTGTAACTTCTAACCACAAAAGTTTCATCATGTTTTGCATTTTCCCAACTTTGATTTCTGCTGTCTTCCCTGTGTTTTTGCAGGAGTGAGTTGGGAGCTGCTGAGAGCAGTAATGGGGGATATTGAGGGTTCATACCGGGTCCTGCAGACCCCTGGCACAAGGCTGGGAGCCCAGTTCAATGCTGGTATCAGCACTTTGGAGCCGGGCCAGAGCCTCAGTGGCAACATGATCGGTGGGAGCAAAAGCCATGGGCGAGGACTTCAAATCCGTGTGCAGGGGCTGGACGACTCCCAGGAGTTCTTTGATATAGACGTAAGTTTCTTCTCAACTGTTGCACAGCCTCATTACACCATTGTTTTATTTACACTGTGATAAGTCTGCAGTTTGTCACACAGCAGGATACGTCTTACCTTATAGTCCTCGGCTACCCTGGTTGCGTGTGGCTTGTGACAGCTGCCACATGGCTTTGGTGCTGAAATCCCTTCCTCCTTAAGGCTTCTTATTCGGGGTAACTTAGTGTAACTCACCAGGGCACTTTTTTAGTGTCTTAGCTGTGATTTCTGCTCAAGAGCCAAGTAGTAGCAATTTACTCTCCTGTTCTTGAGCTTCGACCAAAAAGGAGGTAGATAACATGGCCATCCAGGGACACAAGCTTGAACACGTTTACTTTTACAATTTCAGTGGAAACAAGCAGTTCATTTTAAAATGATAAACCTGTGTGTTCCTCAGTGCTGGGGATGCTGGAATAGACAAATTACATTAGGTCTAGACTGGCTTTGATGGGTTTTGCTTTGTAATGATCAACACCAGATTTGACATTTTCTTATTTAATTATAAAGGTGATGGAGTTGGCAGAAAGGACAGGGTTTCCAAATGTTGTTTTCTAAATCTCGCTCTGCCATCATCACTGCCGCCACCACAGCACCTACTGCAAGTAACTAGATAATGTTACCGCTGATAAAAATGAAATTCAGCGGACCTTATCAAATAGATTTTTTTTTTTTTAACAAAGGAATATCAGTTTCAAAGCAATAGAGGAGCGTACAGTGGCGGGCAAATTACACTGAGATTTTGAAATGAGCTACAATTTAACATGGGTGAATCTATATTTCCTAAAATGCTAGCCTTTGTTTTTTCTTGCCATTGTAATTACTTTACAAGTTAATTTAAATATTGCCAGTTGATTTGACCTCTGTCACAGTGCTTTCCCGTGTTTACTGGCCAAGTTGCTGCTGGAGTCATTGAGAAGGCAAATAGGAAGCAATAAGGAAGCCACTATATCAGAGCAAGTTTCCTGTCTTTTCTGTGGGTGGAGAAATGTCAAAATGATCAAAGTAGAGTCTCCGCAACGAATAAACAACCGAGTCAGTGGCTGATCGATGGAGGAGTTTTAATCTGCAGTGTAATATAACTGGACTAATGGGCTACTAATTGTATTAGAATAGGTTAGTGTATTTAACGTGTGTAACTACTCTGCCCTAAATCCTTTTGTAGCCACAACAATAACGGTTCTGGCAGATGTAGTGCGGGGCCACTGCTGAGACAGACATTTTGTAATCTTATGCACCATATGTTGTCTCAAAGTCTAAAGCTAATAGAATGTGACAGACACAAGTTTAATTTCCATGGAAGTTGGTCCCTGCGCTGCTCAGTCTGGAAGAAAATAAACAATTTGGTTAGTTTTAGGAAGATATTCAGCCTTAACATGTCGACAGACAACTGAACTTGGCCTAGAGAGTTCAAAGAAAGCTCTGGACGTGGTGTTGATAAGAGGTGGCAGACCCGAAATACATGGCTGCAAAAGGGGAATGACGGCAATCCTGTTGTCAAGCAGACTGCAGTTTGCGGAGAACAAGATGGCCTCTGAGAGGCTCCGTTGTTCCCCACTGCCCAACATTGCTTAATATTTGTGCTCATTCATACTGAGGAGTCGCGGGCTGGTGGGAGGATAGTACTAACGTCTATGTACAGAATGGCTGCAGAGCTGTACATTCACTGCATGACTTCTATTTATTTTTCACTTCGAAGGAATTGCCAGTGTGCTCTATCATTATTAATGTTATGTCTGTTACCACAGCTGCTTAAAAAGAAAAAATGAAGCAGCATAACTTTTCCTACATTGTAATTGTAGTTTTTCCTCATGCACACAGTATGCAAAAATAGATACAAAATTGCAGTGTTGAATGTTTGAAATGGTTGTGGCCTTGAAGCAACTGCCTCCCCTCATGGCATTTTGGTTGATCAGCTGCTCAAATCCCATATACATGTATACAGTCTTTATCATCTGCCAGTACCTGCTACTCTCACTATGTGCTGCGTAGGGAAGCATAAACGCACTTCGTTGAAATTCTGCTCCTTTCTACAAAAGGAGGACACATTTGCTTCTGCGTTGTCATGTGTTATCCTTTTGCAACCTGGAATGCATTACAGATTTCATCTCATGATAATAGAGAACGGTAGGACCATATGGTGTGATAGAATATGTAGTTTATGGTTCTATAATGTCTTTAGTCTGGAACTACAACAGACAAATCACATCTGAGCGAGTGTGCTTTGGTCTGTGGCCTTCATCTGCTGCAGGTACCCCGCATGGTCATCATCATCAGCAGACATTTGCTTGCATGGCTCTTGTCCCCCAGGCCCCTCCTACAGCCAGCACAGGAGAAAGCTCAGCCTTGTGGTTTCTGGACAGGGAGGCAGGGCCGGCAGGGCAGGGAAACACAGGCTTCTTTTATCCCAGCACAGCCAGCCCCTTCGCTGGCCTTAACTTCCACCTCAAAACTTGCAAAAAGGCCGAGGGTGGGATGTGGAACCTAGCTGTGTGAAAATGCAGTACAGTCGGGGCACCAGTGGGAGGGAATCCGGGCAGGCTTTGCTTTAGTGTTAGCAAACAAGCACATAAATAGCAAGGTTGACAACCAAGTGGGTTTGGAGGGGGGGGGCACAGGGGCAGCCTCTGGTGTTAAAAGAGCAGTTCAGAGGGAGCAGTCATGGCCAGTACAAAGTTTGAGCCGGGGTGTTGGGGGAGGGGACACACTCAGGAGTGAAGCCCTGCTGAAAAGTTTGGAATTTTAACCACTGGCCTGTGGCAGAAATAACTATTTGTGAGTGATGAAACTGTTTAATGTGGTAATGTGTTAGTGCTGTTTTGATCTTTTTACGGTTTGTACGAGTATTCCGCCAAAGTCTGAAAAGGAAAGATACTGGTGCGTCTTTTTCAAATGTTGTTGTGTGCATTGTGCTGTATTTTGAGTTACATCAGACTAGTATAGCTGGAGATAATATGAAATTAAAATTGTCTGCGTAATGGAGCAGAATTGGGCATGTGTTTCGTGTGCATGCTCAAAAAGGAGTGCTCTTCATTACAACCACTACAGCTGAGCACCCTCATCTCTACAAAGCACTCACACTATCCCACTGTGTACTGAAGTAGCTCATCTAATGGCTGCGCCTAGAAGGACTTCTTTAACGTCTGAAACAGTCCCCTGCTCTCTGCATTACTGCATTACTGATCTTTCCCGTCGTTCTGATGCGTCTGTTTGTCCCCGGGGGTAATTGGCTGCCACTCAAGGAGGTTCCACCTAGCTCAAGTTATTTTTCTGTGTATTGCAGGGCTTAGTTCAGATAGTATCTGGGTTACACAGGTGACCTGAGCAGAAGGCACACTAAAACACCTGATCCCGATTACCACTATGTTGTGTTTATCTGCCAACAAACACACTGGCCAACTGTCCCACATACATGTCCTCAAGCCAGAGAGTGAAAAGAAATCAGCACTAATTATTTCAAATGAAAGTTGCCCTTAAGTTAAGAAAGGCATCAAAGAACCCTGTGATCTTTGAAATGTCTCGTCACAGACTTGTGAAAGTGGCCACTGGTGTGCAGAGCTTTAAAATGTATGTCAGCAGGAAATCTCCTGGTTGCATGGCCTAAACAATAAACATCCCACTGTGCCAGATACAAGCCCCAACACACCCCTGCTGTCAGTGGGAGGTTCTGCTAGAGCTCGCTGCCATTCACTTGGTGGCTGGGGAGTATCGAGGGCTGTTGGGTGAACCGTGCCTAACCTGTCAGGCAAGGTACACCCAAGCCTGGGACTTGAATTAGGCTGGATAATCTTTGGTTTGTTCTCTGTGGATGAGAAGGGCAGTCGTCACTCCATAGCTGGCTGCTTTTCAAACCTTGCATTTGTATGCCCCCCCACCTCTTCACACACACAGGGGAAGATTTGTTTCCCAGAGAAACATCTGTTTGTCATAATCCCTGCTGCTTTCAGAGCTTGATTGGGTGACCCACTGACCTGTTAATGTTAGAGCTCAGAGATGAGACCGAGGTCCATACCACAAGTTGAGTGTGAACATACTGCACCAGATCTCACTGTCAAATCCCAGATGCTCTTGAACTGAAATGCCAGACGGGCTTTTAGGTAGCACCCCACTGATTTGTGACGCATCTGTTTGCACTGCAGAATGGATAAATCACAGTTGAAGACATGGTTAGTGAATGCTGACTAACCATGAAAGTAAAATACCAGAATATATGGTAAAATAACAACTAGTGTTCATTTTACCATATTTTTTTGGAGCGACTATTTGTGCTTTTTAATCTTTTAGTTTATAAAGTGTCAGACATGTTAAAAATCCTCATCACAATTTCCCAAAACCCATGGCACCATCTTTAAATTGCTTAAATTGGTTTTCTGAGCAGCAGTAACCAAAAAGCAGCAAGTCATCCACTGGTTCCAGAAAATGTTTGGCATTTTTGTTTGATATATATCTTTAACAACAAAATTAAAGTTAGCAGTCCCTTCATGCTGCACACATTGAAAAAGGTAATTACATTTATAGTAAGATTCTATTTAAAATACAACAATATATACAATTCTTTATATACATCTACAATCAATATGCAATCCATCAGTTATTGTGGTCAGTTTATTATTGGACTGGAAATTGATTTGAGTCAGCTCTAGTGACCTTTGAGATCAGGAAAAGATAATATTAACTAGTATTCCAGCTAATATTTCGATCACACTCTATCTCTCTGCCAGGTCAAGAGCTCACGAGCTCAACAGATAATAGAAATCTATTATTTTCTATATCTCTGTCATTTTGTTGCTCTAAATTCAAGTTTGGCTCATTAACTTTGTCACATGGTGTTATTTCTTCCTCTTCTCCCTTTTTGTTACTGCCCTTGAATGCTGAAATGCCAAGCATGTTTAAAGGGTGGTATCCCTGCAGTGGTATAATGACTGTGCCCACAGTGTATACAGTAACTGATTGCACATGCTGATAACCCAACTTGGTCAGCAGTCAGAGGAAGTTATTTGAATGGAAATGATCTGCACAAGTCTGCATTGTGACAACACTACTTGTGAAAATTGTATGAATTTAGATAGATCCAGTGCATATCTGTCTGCAGCCACTACACTGCGTACTTTATGTATATTCACGGAGGAGGATGTGACGGGGCTTTATAGTATTGCCAGTTGTCTGTTGAGCAATTAGATCTCTGTGAAAATGTCATCCCTCCCTCTCCGATTGTGGAAGATAAAGCTGAATGTCCTCCTCTGGGACTAGAGTGCTGTAAATGCAGTTTACATTCCTGCAGAGGGTTAATGAGTAACAAAAAGGAGGGGCTTCTGAAAGCACACCAGTAGTTTGCTCATGACTACTGAGGAAAAAAATCTGTTAACAGTTTATTCTAATCTGCCATCGGTTTCTGGTTTTCTTGACAAACCAGTTGCCCCAATTATGATTTTTCACAGCTCGGTAAGAGAATATTCTAAGATACAGATGAGGTGGATATATTTTAAATCTCATGTGCTAGTAGTTACTAGGCTCATCATACCTGTGTAACATATGCTTTAAATCTGACGTTCAAACCTCAGTTTACCCTAAATTACAATTGAAAGAGGTAATTATTGTATGGAAATATTGTCTTAATCCACAGGGAAGATTTGGTTTTGCTCTAATAACATAGTTAACAAAGCACCCCAGTATTTGATTACATTGACTCTTTGCTGAATTGGCATTCACTTAAATAGTCCAAATTGAGACAGAATACCTAAAATCTTCTTACACTTGGTCGCTGATGCACTTTGAATACTTACTGATGCTGTCTCTAGTATGTTTGGCCTGCACACAAAGACAAACCAGACAAAGTATTTTAACACACCAGTTTTTTTGCTCTCTGGTTGAGATCATCTGTAATCAGACACTGTAAATGCATTTTATAACACATTCCTAAATTAATGGATGTTTTGTCAGTAGGTTTCACCTGCAATTTATAGATTTTGTGAATGCAGAACATATGATTGTATCAAAGTAATGAAAAGACTAACTACAGTAAATCTCCTGGCACTCTTTGAGTTGTAATGCTTTACTTTAGCCAATGCAAAGCAGTTCTTTTTATAAGGCTTTTAAAAATACTATTTTACATTACAACCAGATGTTTCAGGCTATAATTTTCTCAAAAAGTCTCAGGCTAGGATTCCAAACCTCAAGTGCAGTGTGTTCTTAGTACATAGTAATTAGTTCTTCGTTTAGTGAAAACAAACCCCAGAGCGTTGAGAAGGTAAACTTCGGCCGATTTCCTGCCCGTGATTTTGCTGCACTCTGTCCAGGCCCAGATAACGATAAATGTACAGTAGGATGCATTTTTGAAGTTTGCTTGCTCATCCAAGTGGAGGAAACTTTGAATTGACAGATGGAACATACGTAGCCATAAAACACCCAATGAAGTTGATAATTTACAGATGCCAAATATTTTCTGCACCACACAGACAGACAGCACATTGAACACAAGCATGGCCTTCTTCAACTCAGCAAAAAATTAGTTTTTGATAGTGATGTCTGTTAACCTGTTAACTGTTGTTGATCAGTTATTTTGTTCTTCAAAATTGTTTGACTCAAAACAATGTCATTTCTCTTTCCAATAAAATTGTACAATACGTACAGTATATCCTCAGTAGATCCCTGTGTGGACATAGTGATGAAAATAATGATTCCTTTTTCTCTGTTGTTTTTTCTTTCAGCCAAAAGCTTTTGGACAGAGCCTCCTCTCTGAGGTTTTCCTGAGAGGCAACCTCATAGAGAGTGATTACTTTGGCCTCGAGTTTCAGAACATGCAGTTGAACTGGGTACGTCTTTTGTTTCCTGTTGAAACTGACACATTGGATATCCAGGAACTGACATGCAAAGTCATTATACATATCGGTCAATACTCATCAGCAGATGCAGCCAGTGTTTCAAAGGTCACAGCTTGATGACAACATGATGTGTCTCAGGCCACAAGATGAACTCTTCAGTCATATCAGTTGCTCCTCTTTAGTTTTCTACAGGCAGTGATGTAGTATTGTTTTTCTTGGACTAGAGCAGTATATAATCCAGGAGATTTGAGAACTTGTCTGGCACAAGTGCCCATATGCAAATGTCAGACTTTCCATTGTTTTATTCTTCTTGAAGTATAAGTGGAATTCAAGACCACCTGCAAGTTCTTTGAAAAGCAACAGAAGAGATATAAAACGTACTGTATATTTTCTTCTTCAAAGAGAATGGAGCCACAGGCTTTTTAGCTCATAACTGTAACAGTAGTGAAAACACGTACTACTTATATAAGTACTTGTTGATATGCAATATTGTTTTTAAAGAAGCTTTCGCGTGACAAGAGTCGACCATTATGTTTAAAGGCCAGGCCTGCTACTATAAATAACTAAAAGCTTCTTATCAAGAAGGTAAATGACAATCTAAATCAAAGGTCAGATAATTTCAACTTTGGCGGCCCTGTTTGTCTTTAATGCTCCTATTGCTGTGTATAAAAAGAGTTATTCAAAAAAAGGATAGAGGCATTGTTGCAGTTTTAAGCTTTTTGTTGTATTTTATAACCATTAGCAGTAGCAGGTAGAGTTAATATTAGCTATAAAAGATGTATGATATGATACATATGATGGATTTTCTTTTTTCTGTTCACATTTGTTTTTGTTGTTTTACATTGATCAACAATTATATATCAACAAATATTGATTGTAGAGCTGCAAATAGTGATTATGTTAATCATCAATTAATTAATCATTTCATTTAGAAAATGTCAGAAAAAAATGAAAAAAAGCCAAAATGTAGTTGAGCCCAATGTGTTGTTGTTTTGTTTTTTTGTCTGACAGTCCAAAACCCAAATCTTTTTTTTCTCATTTAAAGAGTCAGAACTGTTTTGGATTTGGTTAGGTCATAGCCATGGAGTATTAAATCACCCATCTTTGCTCACTACATCTTAGCCTTTCTACCTTCAGGTGTGCATAAACTACAGGTCACAAACTTCTTCTTAAAATACATAAGTGTAAAATTCGGTACCAGCCATAAGAAGCAGGTAATTATCGAGTACTGGCTGAAATAAAATTCTTTATTCATCCCTAGTATCTATACTTTTTCTGAATTGATTTAGATAGATAAATAGATAAATATACTTTATTGATTCCAAGCTGGGAAATTGCAGTGACACATGGATGCCCTAACACATGCATATGTGCATATGTAACTACAAAGTGAGAGAAGGATTCAGGCAAATATCAGCTGATACCAATTTCTCAATATATCGGTCTGGATCCGGCACATTCCTCCCTCAATCAGGCCCAGATGTAATAGGGCAAGCAGGCTCCTGCAGTGAGGCAGGGAAGCCAGTTTGCCCACAACACTGCTACATCACTCTACTATCATCTAGACGCTAACACAATGTACAACCACTATATAATAAGTCATTTAAGGTAGAGCTGTCTCAAAAAAAGTTCTCATACTATTGTGAAGATAATGCTATTTCTTTCTCTTCAGGTTTGGCTGGAAGCCACAAAACCCGTTGCGAAACAAGTTAGGAGTAAGTGAACTCAAATATTAGCTCGATATTGGAAACTAATGAAAATGTGTGTTTGTGCTCTGATGATCCGTTTCATGTTTTTCAGGACCAGCAAATACGCTATTTAGGCTGTCGGTGAAATTCTTTCCTCCAGACCCCGGTCAGCTGCAGGAGGAGTACACGAGGTCAGTGACTGTAATTTCCTACTGGATATTACTTTTATATCATGCCTGAATGGAAGGGCTTTAGAAACACAGACTTTTTTTCCCCTTTTCAGAAGAAAGAATGATTATGGTTTTTAGGGGCATTATAATATTTGTCTTCCCAAAAATGTTTATGAACAATAAATTCAAGAAATTAAAAAACAACAGTAAAAAACGGCACAATTTCAATGGAGGATTTATTAAATCTTGCGCTTCATAAATATGCACATTTAAGACTTGAGTTATTTTGTGAGGGGCCGTTACATGACCTTTAACTTTGTTTAAAATACTCATCCATGTTTGTGTTTATTTACTTTTCATGAACATAAACAGATGGACACTGAACCTGTGTTTTTGTTTTTTTATAGGTACTTATTCTCGCTGCAGATGAAAAGAGATATGATGGAGGGAAGGTTGATCTGCACAGAAAATACTGGTGCCCTGCTGGCCTCTCACCTTGTCCAGTGTATGTTTAAGTTGGTAGTTTTGCAACAATATTTAGTTTGATAGAAAAAATGTAACATTGAAGTGGCTTGCATCAGGCAGCTTTGATTCAGCGTGCACACACATTCGTGCTAACACACACAAACAAGGATTCACATAGTAAAAATGGCAGTTAGTTTTCTGTGTATTGCGTTCAGCATTTTAGTTATTTTCCCTATCTTCATTCATATAAGGGGTGGACAAAAAAATAAAATAGTATATTGTGGTGTAATTCAACAGCATCACAAACTTCAGCCTTTAGAATGATTGTGCAGTTGAATCAACAATTCTCGCAGCTTCAACAAAAAGCAAACAAAATAACCTCCTTGAAAGGAGGATTTATTGCAGAACTCATGCACACATCGTACAAATACAACAACACAGCACACCTGCTGTATTCTGTGGTTGTATTTGAAGAATTAGTGAATAACTAACATCAGGTTTATTCAAAAGTCTTGAGTCTTGTAAGAGAATAATATATCCATAAGAATTAGGCACACCATTCTCACCACATAGAACTTTATAATTAAAGAAATGGTTTCATCCTTGGTATTGATCCAAAACCAATGTGCACACACCCAAAGTAAAGTCTGTTCTAAAAAGTCACCTCGCTCAACAGATGTTTAACTCTGTGTATGAGGAAAAACTGATGTTTTGCTCTTCCTTACGCCACAGCGGAGATTGGTGACTATGATGATGTAGCAGACAGAGACTTTCTGAGGGTGAACAAACTGTTGCCTTACCAAGAGAAGGTGCAAGAGAAGATCATGGAGCTCCATCGCAGACACCTGTAAGTTGCTCCCTCTGATCGGTCTAATTACACACATACTAATTCAATTTTTGTTGTTTTTTTAGTACAGGTATACACATGACAACTTCTTCAGATTAAAAAGAGTAAATGTGGTTTATTACTTTCTACTCCTGACCACATGTTAAGCCAGTTTTAAGCCAGTTTACTGTGATGTGTGAACACAGCTCGGTTGAGCTTATTGACTGTTACAGTTTGACCTCACTCCCAAGCAGGGCCATAACATTGTGGGTTAAATTGATTATTCCCTGCTCTGAGAATGCAGTGGAAGTAACAAATGAACAGCATCACCACAGGACACCAGAACAGTATCATTGTGCAACTACAGTATGTCATTAGGTAACACTAGCCGTTGTAAGAAGTGAAAAATAATATGCAGGTTCACTTCCCTGGAAGATTGTTAACATAATGCCCACTTTGAATGAGTACATTGTTTCCACATGCAGATTCATGCGTTCTGAAAGTTTGGAGTGTACTAGAAGTCAGTGCCACTAAACATTGAACTAACCACTTAGTCTTAACTGCACGTTGCTGCTTCCAACCTTTTAGACCATCTCAAATTCATATCCCACAAAAGGACATCAAATGAATCACAATTTTTAGATTTTGTAAACAGTGGCATGTTGTTTGTGCCCCCTTTTTATGTGGCTTTAAACACAAATGTTTAGTGTTAACTATGATGAGGTCAACTGAACTGAGACAACTGTGTTCTTGCTAAACAACTATAATGAGAGGGTTTGCCCAATTCTATAGTCCAGAGTCTCACAAAACCACTCGCTGCATTTTTCCCACCACCAGCCTCCTTGTTAGCACAGTACTATCCTATGGCCAATAGGGGCTCTTTTCAATCCAGTGTATTAGGCGGCTCTAAAGACCTTTGCTAATCTCTTTCCTTGGTTGCCAGTGTGGAAGCACAAGCGGCAAGTTCCCTGGCCTAATCCCCTGCTCTGGCCGGTCTATTAGCCATAAGGCCAGTGGGGCAGGGGAGGGCCCTAAGGAGATTTCACCGCTTAACGGATGAACAAAATTAGAATGTGGTGATGATTGGATGGATATGTCTTCCTAACATGCTGTTTGGTTGTAATCACATGGTTTTAGATAATGCCTTTCAAATCCTCGAAGTTATAAGAGATTTAGGACACACTTCTCCAAATGGAAGCCATGATACAACTGTTGTTTAAAAATGTGATAAATCAAAGAGAAAGCTTGCAGAATGGACTCGAGGCTCCACACTAAGGCCTGGTTAATTTGTGATGATTAACTTTATTGGTTTGAGGAACACAATTGTTTTTACTGCACTTTTGGTATTTGATACATGTAGGAGAAAAAATATCAAATGAAACGTTTCAGTAATATTGATGATACAAGCTAAAAATAAATGGAAGTGAGTTCAGAATGCAAATTCAAGGTGCATAATTTTGAGTTTAAGATTTTATAGATGTGCAACAATATTTTAAACTCACTGATGTACTGGAAACAAGTGTAGAGACCTAAGGATTGATGTGATGTATTCTTGTTTCTTCTTTTTTCTCCATTCAGTTATCCTTTGTAATTTATGTCAGTAATGTAGTTATTTAGTTTACTGGATGTTTCCTGCAAAACTATAATGTGTAATTTCATTGTTTCATGTAATTTGGTCTTTTGGAAACCATGTAAAAGTGAAAGAAAAGAGCCTCAAGGATTGAGCCTTGGGGAACCCCACCATGTTGCTCTATTTGTTGAATAAGTGAAAATAGTTTCTGTTTTGGAGACAGCTTATCACAGTTTTCTAGTCTGTATAGTAGTATTATATGTTTGATGATGGCATGGTGTGACTCACAAGGGTTCATTTGTTTTATTTTCTAATCCAGGGGCCAGACTCCAGCTGAATCAGATTTCCAAATCCTGGAGATTGCCCGTAAACTGGAGATGTATGGCGTCCGCTTCCACCCAGCAGCTGACCGGGAAGGCACCAAAATTAATCTGGCTGTTTCTCATATGGGCCTTCAGGTTTTTCAGGTGACTGCTGCTCTCATACCAGCTGTCTTTTGTGGTTGTGACCCTCAGTCCCTAACAATGTTTGCTGAAGGTTATTTCTTTCTTTCTAACATTCCTTTTTCTCCCAGGGCAACACAAAAATAAATACCTTCAATTGGTCCAAGATTCGTAAACTAAGCTTCAAGAGAAAACGGTTCCTGATCAAGCTCCACCCAGAAGTTCATGTATGTATTAATGAACTTTATTCAGAAAATGGCAAAGTTGGATTTTTGTTATTTTATCTGTATGTCTCAGATTTAACATCCACTGTGAAGGTGACTGGTTTACTGTGTGATTTCATTGTCTTTCTCTTTGTTTGTTTCCAGGGCCCCCATCAGGACACACTGGAGTTTATGATGGCCAGTCGAGACCAATGTAAAATCTTTTGGAAGATCTGTGTGGAATACCACTCATTTTTCCGTTTGTTTGACCAACCCCAACCCAAATCCAAAGCTATCCTCTTCACTAGAGGCTCTTCCTTCAGATACAGGTACTCAGTTCTTACATAAAAACAAATGCATGTGTGATCTTTAGTGCTTTTTATAGATACCTCTGGGATTCTTGTTCTTGTTTAATTATTCAGTATTTTAATTCAAAACTCTCTCTGTCAGTGGAAGGACCCAGAAGCAGCTTGTGGAGTACGTCAGGGAAAATGGAGCAAAGAGAACGCCATACCAGAGGTATGTGTTTCCATATACAGCATGTGCACTGTTTATCAGAAAGACAAGTTGTTTGACTTACTAATTCTTACTAAGTATTGACTAAGAATTGTTTCCACCCTGCATTCATGATAATAATTCTGCCATTAAATTGTTTCTTGTCCAGGAGGAACAGTAAAATCCGAATGTCTGCTCGCTCCCTAGCCACAGATGTGCCAAAACAGGTCAGTGGTGCTACAAGGTTGATGCAGTTGTCCAACAAATTAAACTGTTTCTACATATTGTACTATAATGAATAAACTAATACAATTCTCCTCCTTTTTTTACTTTCCACTTTCTTTTTCTTCCCTCCCTTCTGTTGTTTCATTGTCTGTGTTGCATTGTTTCAGTGCTTGTCATTCAATGACAGTCTCAGGGCCCCAGGCTCTCCTTCCTCCGCTACTGTGTCCTTCTACCCAGCGCACATCTCTAGTATTCTCCCAAGAACAGAACTTCAGCCCCAGCCTTTGTCCACACTGAGCCAGTCTTCAGCGCATCCCCTGCAGCACCACCAGCAACAACAGCAGCAGCTTCAGTCCCCTCTGCAAGTCGCCAGACCCCCCAGCCCTCCGAAGGAGGAACCTGTCAAGGCTGCTTCTCCATCTCACTACGCTTTTCAAGGTGCCCCTAGCAATCAGGCAGCAGGACACTGCAGCCCCTTGTTTATGTGTGTAGAGAGTGTCACTTCCCAATCACAGCCCTCCAAAAATGGCAATGAGGATAATGAGCATGGTGGGAGAAGGGGAACTGGGTGCTCGGTGGGAGGGGGTGGAGGGAAGAGAAAGGGGGTTCTTACACCTGAGGCTTTTGAGGCGGAGCTTTTGCGTACAAAACAGAATCCCATGTTCTCAATGTCCAACTCACCGCTGCATGTCACTGAGGAGTTCATAGATGATGATCCCACGGAAATTTCCTTTTACGGCGGCGGAGCCGAAGCCTTCACTTTTGGGCTTGATGATAAAGTAGATCAGTTTGATTATGTTGAGGATTCTGAACTTAGCAAAAACCAGATCTTTAGTGTTGGCATTGAAGACCTGAATGGGAATAATAATCCCTTCCCTGATAGCATTGTTGGTCATTCTGAGACCAGCTCCTTGGTCAACAACCGCTCTGAGTGCAGCTCCCTGGACAACCTGGGGCTCAGCTCTGCAGGTGAGTCCATGTCAGTGGGTTATGGAGGCAATGACTCCTCCTCGCTTCGCCTGCCAGGCTCTGACATCCAGTCAGAGGCCAGCTCTATGGTCAACTTCCCAGCGTACTCTGTGCGTTCTGAGAGCAGCTCTGCTGTGCAGTTCAGTGACCTGGTAGAGCAGCTTGAGCAGCTCAGCTACCCACCCACAGCCACTGAGGGCTCTGGGAACAGCAGCTCGGATTCAGACTCCGACTGGGGCTCTGACAGCGTCCTTCCCCCTGAGCAGAATCTCTTTTACAGTAATCCTCTGACAGGGAGCAGTGGAATAGAGGGTTTCCTCCTTCAGTGCCACAACCTGCAGGCCCTGGCACTTGCAGACCCCTCTGGGTCCCCTCATATTAAAATGTAAATCACATATCCGTATAGCACTTGAGGCCGCTGTCCAAATTATAGTGACTTTTGTGACATTGTGATTAATAATGATAATAAGTAGCAACAGCACAGTTCACTCTTTAATAATACAATTTAACCTCACTCTCAAGCACACTCTTGGTATTCACAGTACTTTTATCATTAGACAATTAATAACAAAGACGGTTGCATTGTGCGTAAAGCTGATTAATTTACTGCTGTTGTTCAGCTGTCTTTATGTTTGTACATGGACCTGTACTCCCATCTGCCTTGATGCACATCTTTGTAGTGTACAGTTGTTAGCTGTCACATGCTTTTATATTTAACTCTCTCTACCGAGTAGTAGAGGAAAGCATCTGCTGTTCCATATGTTGGTTTAATGCAGCAGCACTGTTGTTTTACTATGTGTCAGTGATTTGACCTGGTGTACCCCTGCCATGGTCACATTGTGGTGCTTTTTTTTTTTTTAAATCACTTCTGTCTTCTCATGAAGCTTGGCTTATCAAGTTTGGGCCTTTCATGAGATTCTTGAATGACATAGTCTTTGTCTTTTTCAGTTGTCTTATCTACAATGTTCAGCCTATTTACAGCAAATGTTGATAATGCATTTTGGGTTAATCCCTCATGCATTCCAGAAAATGCAAAACATTTTGTGCTTTTACTTTGGAAGCTTTATATCTTTTTAATACATGTTTCACGTCCTTAAAAATAATGTACACATTAGCATAGGAATGTCTTGTTTCGCCTACCTTTTGCTTAATACATGATATAATACATTATTTAACTCAGGATGTCAGAAAAATAATGTTCTGCATCGACCTTCCAATTTGATTGCCTTAATAGTTTCAATTTAATGAAACGGATTAAAGGAAAATTGTAAGTAATGTAGAGTTTTTTTATGATGATTTCTACCTATATTGTAACTATAACTTGACCAACAAGTACGCTTAAAAATGTGATTTCTTAATTTACAAAGTACTTAACAAATACATTACTACTATTGTTATTATTAGTAATAATCATCATCTGGCTATTAATTCTCATTTATTAGATGGTACATATTGTGCAGTGTAGCGTTTTCCAGTAGATGGTAAACAGTAATGGTTCTCTAATCTAATGTCTCCAATCTCAGGGTAAAAATAAAACCGACAGTCGTCCAGGTTCAGTGATCCTCACAGGCCTCCTGTATTTAAAAAAACAACACATGCCATAAAGCCACTTTTCTATTTCCACTTCTGTGCCTCACTGACATCTGCTGGCTGAAGCAGTAGTCTGCATTCTTCACACCAGACTAGACCACAGCATGTAGTAGTTTATGATGACTGAAGGATAAAATATATTTCACCATAATAGACACAAACATTTTTAGACATAGACATTTTTGCTTTATGTTGAGCTCAGTTGAAGAATGTAAGCAGTGTACTAATGAGCCTTTAAGTACACTGTTAACACCACTTTCTGCAAAATGAATGTATTCTCTTACATGTATGTAAGGCTTTGTGCTTCTGTAGCAACCTTGCTACAGTTGGCAAACCATGTATAATAGCGTTCGACACAGTAGTACTTCCTTTAGAACACAGAGCATTTAGATGTAGCGCTTTTCAACATTAGAAACCATTAATGTTTGTAACTTCCAGGAAACCCTTTTGTACATAGGAGGTAAAGCATATTTTGAAACATCTGACCAGTTAGCGGTTGATGTGTCTCTCTCCTGTTTTGGGGTTGTGGTATTGGCTATCGTCAGGTTACCAACAAGATGGTATTCTGTTTATCGGAAGGAAAAAGGGGTCTTTTGCACATTAGCTTTGAATTTCTCTTTTAAATTAGCTGGATTTTTTTAAGTATTGGTATAGGAACGATAGTTTGCTATCATGTGGTCAGTCGCTAATATGCTAGCATGCACAAAGCTTTTTTTATTGTTTTTTTTAATCCAATCTCCAGGCCTTGAGATATGTCTTGTCAAGTCTCTTAAATTGAATATTCTTGTGCCGTAGAACACGAAAAGCTAATACTGTGTTGATATCAAACTAATCAGTACTACTTTATTAACTCACTGATGTCATTTCCTTAAAACAGTCTTGACTTGTAGAGCCTGATTTTTAATTTCCTTTTATTTGAGCTCACTTTACTCTGCCTGAAGGCAGCCTTCACTTGGCTTTTGCAAAGTTTGCCTTTTCTGTACATGTTACAGAGCCTTCTTTTTGTCTTGCACCGCAGTGCCTTAAAGCACTTACTTTCGCTCTTTCCAAGCAACATGCTTTCATGCGTATCTCAGGTGTAAGTTCCTGTTAACTTTTCAGTTGCAGTGGGATGTTTCTGGTAAACATCTATGTGGAAAAAGGGGCAATCTAAATCAAGGGTTTTCGTCTTTAGTAAAACAATAGTTGAAAACTCAGCAGTTCTCATTGTCATTTTGAAGGATGGCAAGTAGCCATTTTTATTTTTCATTTTGAGAGCACAGAAAAACAACAAACAGAGAAACATATTTTCAGAAGTGTTTTTGCAATCTCTTCACATTCACAAGTGTGAACAGTTGTTTCTGTGTCACCTTGGAGAGTGTGGAACATTATTTTGTTTCAGACGCCATCAGTTACCTAGCAGACCGTGTAGAGTTGTTTTTTATGATGAAGGGTTTGTCTTGATGGCTTTTTTTTTAAATTATTTTTGCCTTGATTCTTTTTCTGCCATGTGATTTCTCCCACATCTCAACTAAAGATTTAATTACTGACGGGCTGACAATTATAACCAGCTAAGCTAACTGCACTTAAGCATCAAGTAATCATCACTTAATCCTGAACATGTATATTGACTTATTATAAACAACATGTACTTAATGTTTGTATGTTTTACTCTCAAGAATAAAGTAATCACTTTTGGGTACCATGAATGTCAGACTTAAAATTCTTTTTGAGATGCAGACTGAAATCAAAGACTCAATGGTGATGTAATTCTTTCAACTGCTTTAACAGAAACAGAAAGTGGTGTTGCATATTCTTCTAGCGGCTAAAATGAAAGTTTGTGCATGCAATTTACATCTGTCTTCTGACCACAATCTTGCAGTAGTCTTGTGTGTGTGTGTGAGAGAGAGAAGAAAGAAAGAGAGAGCAAGAGGAAGATAGACAGGATATTTCTAGAGTATTGAGTGGAAGTTATTAGACTGAGACCAGCCAACAGACCATAATTCATAAATATTTCCTCAGCATGACTCAAGGGAGGTGGATGATAGACAGAAAGTCAGAAACAAAATTCAGACCTGAAAGAACACACAGAAAGGCAGGAATTGTCTAAACAGGGGAACCCAGTTCCATAATGACAGAAAGCCGCTTACTGATGAAATTCACACGTTGCTCAGAGGAGAGAGTGTTGAGATATTGTGAGAA